CTAATGATTCATGGATGAAGGTTCAAAAAATTGATATGATATGCCCCGTATCAAGCATATCGTATTGTATATTTTGGGTCCCGATACGCTTGTTTACAGGTGTTTCAGGACCCCACTCTTTTTTAATAAAAAATACCCTTTTTTAACTCCCCAAAAACCAAATTTTGAAAAAAAAAACATTTTCGTGTGTATCTAAGTAATGATACACCTTTGCCGATACACAGAGGCATATTGATACTTTGAACCATGGTTGGATCTAATGAACATAATGGCATGGAGAATCCTTGGTTCGCTAAGTTGCAGTGTTTATAATGGAGGTGAGTTTCTTGCTATGGAGTGATGAAATTATGAAAATGTCGGTGTTGACATTGTTGGTGTTAAGGAATCAAAATAGGTGGTTTTGATTACAATCTTCCTCAAGACCATAAATTAGATTGCAAACATAGTTGATTTGTCCATTTAAGTTTATGATGAATAGTGTTTGTGGGTGGGGCTGAATCTTTATTCAAGCAAACACATGTTATAAATAATAACATATGTTTTTGAACCGTTGTTGATCCAGACAGTCAGGCTGTTCAGTTTGGGAACCATTAAAGCAACCAGTTTCATTTCTCCCTTAACCCGTTTCTTGGCCAAAAAACTGTTGACTTGGTTAGCGACCCTTTGACCTAGGTGGTCAAACCGTCGATCTGTTCGACCTAGATGACAATTTTTGGTTGTTTTTTTCTTTTTTAATGATTTTTTTAATTGGAATGGACTGTTTGAACTATTTTGTCAAACCATTAACCCAAAAATGGTGGCCAAATCTGTTCATGATTTGGATGATTTTTAAAATATTAATAATAACTAAACAAACTACAAAATATGAGGTAAAACTATATAACAAATCATACCCTATGGCAGGTATGTCTAGCCACCATTGGAAGCGGGAAAACAAGTTGGGGTAACGCTAACATGAGCCCTTCACCTATAAAAGCCAACAAATTCGAAATTGAAGGCCCATAAGATCTTGGAAATTATCTGCAACATAATAGAGGTGGTCTTGTTGAGGTCAATAAGTTAACATAGGTGAAGCCTTTGTGATGTAGGCTTACTTTTTTTTCTTGGTTGTGGAAGAAGGAGCTAGGGCTTTTCTCCTTTCATTTTTTGTATGTCAAACTAGTAGATAAACCTATTTCTCACGTTTTTTAATTTTTATTTTTAAAAAAATTGACAAAAGATGGAGCAACCATGCCATTTGATCATGGTTTTTGAACAGTCATTGACCCGGATAGTCAGACCATTTGGCCCGAGAACCATCAAGGCAACTGGTTCTGTTTTACCCCAAACCCGATCCTAGGCCAAAACTGTTGAATCAATCAACGACCCATTGACCCGGATGGTCGAATCATTGACCCATCAACTCATTCAACGGTTTTGGCTGTTTTTTATTTTAAAATTTTTGTTGTCAAAATGGGCCATTTGTTCGAACTATCAACTCAAAAACTGGTGACCTGAACAATTCTATTTCCATATAATTTTTTTAAAACCATGCATTTGATAGCCTCACACACATGGGATCTCGAGTTAGTACTATCTAAAAACTCGAATGGAAGTACACTTTGTCATACATGAAAAGCGAGTGTAGGACATCTCCGCTCCAAATTATAGTTACAAACAAATGAAAACTGAATTGGGTGTAAGATTTTGTTTATGCATGTATAAATTATTCAACCCATTAATTATATCATTTAATGTTAGGTAGTTTCTGTTAAATTCAAGTGGAACAGGTCCCCTCTTGTATTTATGAATCCGTGAAAAAAAAAGCTATTAAATAAGTTAATTAACAGGTTATTACTGTGAAATTGTGAATTTTTGTCGTGCATTTATCGTGTTAATCTGACCCAACCTAACCCAATGATAAAAGTCGACCAATTTGTTTAGATTGGATTAAGGTTAGGCATTCCAGGTTGGGTTGGGTAGGTATGGATTCGTTGTATTGAGACTCGTCGAGTCTGTTTAGATTGAGGTATTCCCTAAGTCAGGTTAGGCTTGGCTTGACTTCAACTCGACTCACCTAGATGGGTTGCACCTAATACCTTTGCACCCAATAGTCTAACACCAACGCAACAATATACTTTATGATTTTGTACAGTAGGCTGCATTTGTTTGCAATACAAATGCTGAATTAGGGTATTGCAACAACATACTTTATGATTTGGTATAGTAGGCAGCATTTGTTTGCGATACAAATATTGAACTAGGGTATATATGTATTCCGCTTCGGATTTGTTAGTACTTTTTGACATGTAAAAATGTAATGATTAAGTGATAAAAAATGTATTTCCTAACACTTTTAATCTAAAGAGAGTGTACTACTGTACCTATTTTTTGGATACAATTTTGTGTTATTCTGATAATTTTACTTTTTGATCAAAGTTTAAGGCATTGAAATAGTTGGAGCATTTAATGATGGGAATCACGCTTTGCACCGATTTGAAACAAGCATGATGAGTACACAAATGGTTTAAAAATATTAACCCAATTTGCATTCATGAACCAAAAAAGAAGGTAATGATGCAGAGTGCATATTTGCAATTGCATCCCAACCAAACACAATCGTAAAGATGGTGAGGGTTGAGTTAATATTGGTGCCCCACAAAGTGTACCCCACTTGCACATCTCAGCTTATATTGGAAGTATCTCAATTACTTATTATAGGGAGATGTTCTCAATATATGGTTCGATTGTGTTGTTGGGCGCCCATGGGAATTCATAAGGGTTTGCTACACTATAGTGTGTACCTATGATGTGGCATATTCATCACCATCCTTGTCCCAATTATATGGGTTTGACTACATACATTAACCCTATTTTGTTTAGTATCATATTCATCCCTAAATTATGGGTGCTAATCATTTCTTATTGCTTTCACTCAAATCCTTTTCCTTTGTCCTTCAATTCTATTAGCCCTTTGTCCTTCACTTTTTCCAAGGGTGTTGTAGATGACTCTGGATCTCCTGCCCATGAGAACTCTACCCATGTTTACCCACAAAATACTACCCCCCGGCAATTGGGAACATCTCCCTTTGCATAATACTATGTATGAGGATGAGATGTTCTCCATGTGTGACTACGATGTTATGTGGATAGACGTGGACAAAATTTGTGTAGGCAGGAAATCCAGACTCGTTGTAGATGGTCTTTTTCACACGTACCAAATGGGATGTTAGGCATCAATGTTGATTTCCCAAAAATCACTATTATGTTGAAGTTACATTAATGCTAGAGGAATTGATGATACTGAAAATTTTGTTTGGTTGGACGAGTTGGTGATTTTCAAGAAATCATTCAAAAACCGGTTCTTGAAATCAGCATTCTTTTAGGAATCACCTTTTCCAGTGATTTCTTGATTTCTAATTGATTATGATTTTTTAAGGATGAATATGCCATTCTATGTGGCATTGAACAATAACTCCAATGTTAAAATAATTGGCACTTAAAGGCAGATTTCTCAAGAATCGGCTTACATGGCAGAAATGATACCAACTAACAACGATTTTTGAGAAATCATTGATTTTTGAAAAATACAATAAAAAAGAATCAACATCGATGCCAAACATCACCTAAATCACTCCATTCTACTTTCATTCATACTTTCTCTTATTTTGTCACTTATAGAGCTATTTCTATGTTCCTAGTATGTTCACTTGGACACTTGATTTTACCAATCAACCGAAGCCCAAAAGTTTAAATTGGTCACTTGGACATAAGGGTGGCAACAGGCTGAGCTTTTCACGTGTTGCTCGAGCTTTCCCCATCCCCGTCCCCGCAAAAATCCCCATCCCTGTCCCCGTCCCCGTCCCCGCTAACGGGGACAAGGTTATCCCCATCCCCATGGGGATCCCCATTCCCTGTGATTCTTTATAATGCTAACCATTTTGTTTTTGTTTATTATTTTATTTTAAAAAATAAAAATAAAATAATTAACATTTACAATCGTATTAGAAAATATTCAAACATATTTTTTAAAATATTAATATATAAATGTGTGCTTATATATTTACATATATAACATATGCATACATATATACATATATATTAGTGGGGATCCCACGAAGTGGGGATCGGGGTCCCCACGGGGTGGGGAATGACCTCCCCATCCCCGCCCCGTTCCCGCTAATGGGGATGAAAATTTCCCCATCCTCGTCCCTACGGGGGGAAATCATCTCCATCCTTGCCCCATTCGGGGCGGATTCCCACAGGGATAGGGGAAATGGGGAAAATTGCCATCCCTAAGCTCGGCTCGTGAGGCTTGTGAGCTGGCTCGAATATACATATATATATATTTGATATATAATGTATATAATAAAATTATAGAAAATAATATATATAATAAAAATGTTATAATTATTAATTATAATAATTCTTAATTTTTTAAATATCAAATAAAAAGTATTATATATGTATATAATTTTCTATTTTTATAATTTTTTTTTTGAAAATCGAGCTCGAGCTTATGAATTTCTCGAGCTCAAGGTTCTAGCTCGAACCGAGCTCGAGCGTCGAGCCTTGTAGAACAATCTCGAGCCGAGCTCAAGCCTGGTACTATTCGGCTCGGCTCGGCTCGAATCCACCCCTGCTTGGGCACCTATTTGATTTTACCAATTGGGTCATTCAAATTGTAAACCGGAACCCAAAAGTTCACTGGATCAGCCGTTTTCGGTTCATCCGTCCGGTCCGATCTGAGTTACAACACTGAGTTTACACGGTTCTATCAGACAGGTTTATGTTAGAAAGGTTGCATTGCTGATTATCTGCCGTTGCGTTTCCGTAGAAAATACTATCCTAGATTCTGTGTTGCATTTAACAGAACATAACGGCCACCCAGGTCTACAGGGATTCGACTGGGACGGTTGATGGAACATAGGTGATTGATCGTCTGACGCTTATTGATATATTGCACGTTGCTTACACTGTGTCCTGATACACTGTATCATGGTGCATGGAGCGCCCTTGATTGACTCGGTATACTTCATTGACTCGGTTTTGAAGCTTGAATCGACGGAGAGGAAGGAGAAGGAGAAAGAAGAAGATGGAGAGGAAATCGATCTCAGAAATTGGGATTTCCAAGAGGAAGAATCGATCTCAGGTATGTTTCTTGTTTTCTCTTCTGTCGCTTTATTCTTCTTCCATCAAGTCTTTCTGTCTGTCTGTCTGTCTGTCTCAACCGAACCAGCGGCGACTCGTCCCCTTCGTCTCTCAGTCTCTCTCTCTCTCTCTCTCTCTCTCTCTCCACCCGTCAAAACAAAAGCAGGTGTCAGCTTCCGTTCTGTTTTTTCCCTTTTTCCCTCTTTCCCACCTCTCTGCGATCCTTCTTTCCCTTATCCTCTCTGAGCAAACAAAAACAGAGCAAACGATTTTTAATTGGGTGCTTAAAGCTCTAAAAATTGTTAAAAACTGTAGCACTTGAAGGGTCTAAATCAGAATATTATTTGGCGTTTAATGCATATGATTGACTTCAGCAGTTCTGCGACTTCTATCGATATATTTTTTTTAATGGACTCTATTAAGCGTGGAGTGACTGATTGATGTAATGCAAGTTTACATATGTTTGGTTAGGTCTTTCGTAGTTGTTTTCTGATCTGTATATATGATCAAGTATGTGCAATGGTCTTATGGGTTTGGTAAGTTGCCATGCTTCGTTAGGTGAAATGCATTTTTGTACTGAAATTATTGATATTTACTTGTTGCAATACATGCTGGATGTTATTTTAACTAGAAAATAGCTTAGACATTTCGGGTTTCTATTTTGCTAAATTTAATAGCCTAGGCGATGCCCCCTCTGACCAGATATGATGGGGTGCTTTGAATTGATCAGGTGATAGCCTGCTTCCCTCAACTATCATTTGATCTTCCAGGGTGTACCTTTCTGATATTTCCTACCTTCATGGTGGGTGCATGTTGTTATTGTTACTGCTAATATTGGTGAGCAAGCTAGAAGGGGCTTATGCTTCATTTTTTTTCCTCTTTTCTCTTCAAGTACTAGGTTGCAACGCACACTCCCTTCTCCCGAGGAGGTTCTGATTTCCCTTCTTGTATCTATTTATTAGAAGAAACATAACTGGTCAATTCGAAACCTGTGTCAACACATGCAAATAGTGCATTAGCTGAAAGATGGTCAAATTTTAGCATGGTAAAACAAATCCAGCATTTTTATAGCACCAAAACAAATGAACCAAAAGAAATAATGAAAGTATGAAACAACTTAACTAGTCAAAGTCAAAATGACATTGCAAGATGATTGAAACAGTTCTACAACATTCATCAAATTCACGAAATTGTACACAAAAAGGAAAATAAAATAAAAAGAAAAATTTGAATAGAAATTAGAAAAGTTGCCTAAATATGTGACCTTGCTTTAGGGTCATTATCTAAGAAATATAACTCACAACCAACCCAGCAATTAAATTTCACTCATAACTTAAAAAAGTAAAGTCCTAACATAAGGAAAAAACTGAAAAATTAGCTATACATACTTTTTGTGGGAACTTGGGAGAGCAATTTTTGCTTATCCTAAGCAAGTCCTAAAATAAGGAAATAACCTTTAAAGTTAGCTAAAAATATTTGTAGTTGGAGTCCTGGAGAGCGAATTTACTATTTGCATTGTTGGAGACCACTTCATGGGTTATATTACTGCTTCAATTGTGAAAAGGGGTTTCCCTGGCCTTGCTTCTCATGTAATAGGAGGGTTTGCAGATGAAGAGAAAGAGAATCCTAAACAGTAAAAAGGAGGGGTTGATCCACCATTAGTGGTGGCTGAACACCCTGTTATTTCAATATCTCTATCTATGAATCAGAAGACCTTTAACAACGGGAAAGAAGCAAGATGATCTACCTTACTAATTTCCTCTTCCTCAGATTTTCAACTTCTACCTTCAGTTTGAGAAGAAGCATGCATGTCCTTGGAATTCAGTTAGAGTCTAGGCAAATTGCTGTGGAAGAAAGATAAGTCATTGGTTTGAGGGATGTATAAAGCAACACCTAAAAGAAGCCCAATATACTGGGATGGTTGAAGTCCATTAAGCTTCAAATAGGGCCAAATCACCAGTGTAGGACATAAGCAATGATACCAGGCACTTTATCTGTATATACAATACAGTACACACAAGAGGGGCCCATAGAAAGGCAGGTTAAGGGAGTTGGTATATGCAATCAGATATTTTGTGAGGATAAATAGTGTTTTTCTTTTGGAAAGCTTTTCCTGGTATATCCACATCTTTAAAATCTTAGTGCATCCAAGAATTTTACAAGGACCATTATGAGGTCAGTGGGGAGCAAATGGCATGGAATCCATCTTTTAGGAGACCATCTTTAATTGGGAGCTTGAAGAATGCACAAGTTAAGAATACTGGAAGAACATATTCAGCAGGGCTTTGGAGATCAAAGAATATGGTCAGTTTCATCCAAATGCCAACTTTTCATTGAGCGCTTGTAGAGGAGTTAATTTCTGGGCCGGCAATTTGCATTCTGTTGGGGCATTTCATGGGAAAGAAACAGAAGAAATTTTAAGCAAACAAAGAGACACTAGAACAATTATGACCATATCAGATCTCTTATTCTTGGATTGGATACTTGCTCATCCTGAATTAAAAGATATGTCTAGATATTAATTTTGGATTTAATTTATAGTCAACACTTGAGCTGGGTGATGAAATTCTGTTGTAATATTGTAAAACTGTGATGGCTTGTAATGGTTGTTAGCAAGACATTGACTGAGTTAGAACCTATGGACCTGCCCTCACCAACTAACAAATCTACATTGTAAGTGCCTATGTTTCTCTAATTGAGTGTTATATCCTCCTCATCATTCAGCACTCTGGAATTCCACTTATCACTTGGTTTAACCAGGCAACCCTGTTCTGACACCCCCTTAGATGGGGATGCAATTGGGTTTATGCTTATTGTTGAATCCATTTTTAACCCATTTGAGCATACTCCCTAGTGCCTTTATTTTACTCTCTTTCTATGACAACATCCATCCACCTGCAACTGAGAAGGTCATATCATTTCCAAACAACTTATTACCAAAAATGGCATCTGCAAGACACCATCTCCACCCTTAGGCTTAGGCAAAGGCCATGGAGTGAAACCAATACCTCCTCCCATTTTCTTTCTTTACTTCCTGTGAAAATAGGCCCTTAAACCAGCTTCCACCTGTGGAAAAATCAATCAGTATTTCCTCTATGCCTCACTGCACCAAGTCTTGCATAATCTTCACCTTTGACAACGGCCATGAAGATGTAACCCCCCTCTCCCTCACTAAGAATCTAGTCTTGCATAATCTTCACTTTTGGCTTCATACAACAAATGTCCCCAAATCAACAATCGCAAAGAATCTAGTCTTTTTTCCCCTTCTCTATGTGAGATTATCATTAAATCCTCCTAGGGCATTGCCTACCTTGTGAGCTCCGGGAAGCTCATGGCTGGCTCAAGGAGTTGCCACCCATATTTTAGAGGAAATGAGCCCTCATTTGAGCTGTGAAATATTGATTTTATTTTTTTGATAGTGATTCCACTTCTCCATAGGAAAGACATTCAACCAAGAGGTTTTGGATTCAAATGGATTGGGAGAGGTAAGGTGTTAGGCACCTTCTTTCCAAGCTGTTGTGGCAGCCTAATATGAGAGTTGTTTAGGCTTAAGCTTGAAGAAACAACTTCAAGCAAGAAAGAGTAAAACATCAAAACCTTAGGAAAAGATTCCCAACTTCCTTTAAACTTGGTTTGAGGTGATGTTATTGGGAGTTGGGGTACTAGTTTCCTCAAATCCCTCGCCTCTCTACCTCATTCTTCAAGTTAAGAAACTTACTTCTTGAATGTAGCCTTGACTGCTGATATCCGATAATGAGAATAAGCAGAGAATGATGTTTTATGGAAGATTGTAGTTGGTAAGATGCTTCCAATTGATTTCTCAAAGAAAGGGTGAGGACTTTAAGTTGTTTCACAGTCAATCAAAGTTGGGCAACATCAAAGAAAGGGTAAGATGCTTCCAATTGATTTCAAGAATGGGGGTATTTTAGTCTATCAAAAGTTCCACACTTTCATTCATACTTTTTATTTCGACTGCTGCTACAGTAGTCCGAACAGGAAGAGGAGAAGAAGAAGAAGAAGAAGAAGAAGAAGAAGAAGAAGAAGAAGAAGAAGAGGAAGAGAAGAAGAGGGGTCAGT